AACTCGAGCTGGTGCTCGACTGGGCCCGTGCTGAGTACAAGGTACGATTTACTTACTTACTGGTAACTTACTCACCTCAGTAAAGCTACCAGGCCTTTAGGGAGTGGAAACACGCGCGCACTGAACCCGGCGGTGACATTGGCGGCGATACGACGCATGGTGGACCATCTGCAGCACATGCGGTGGCCTCGGAGGGCGCTGTCTCGGATGGTGACACCAGTGACAGCAGCATGCCGTCCTTGCTCACAGTGGGCGGCTCAGACTCGGAGTAGTGTTCGAGTAGCAGTACATATGTTTTCGCGTGTACAGAATCAAGAATGGCAACGTTTTCCGGGTGTTTATGTTTGTGGGATCCACACCCTAACCCGAGGCCAACCCGCGGCGGGTACGGGTAGCGCCTGACCCGCACGACTCGGTGCCTAAGCCATGACCCGTTCAAACCCTCGGGTGCACGGGTGCGGGTTCTACGGGTACGGGTACGGGTACGCAGAAATTGACCCGGGGGTGACCCGTGATGAACCCTAATCTTGCGAGGCAGTCGTGTGAGTGCGACGAATGTGAAAGGGATCGGACACGATTTGGATGCAGGCATCCTAACAGATGTGCTGAAGCGGCTGCGAAAGCGATCAGCAAGCTAGCGCCGAAATGGAATCCGAATGTGGCTGGAAATGAAGATGGGTTAACACTTACCGCGTCAAGAAAGGGGGAGAATAGTGTAGCCAGACTTGAAAACGAACGAATTTTTTTCGACCCATCAATAGAGCAAGGGACGCCTCTTGCAATGGCCTTTAGGGTGTTCACGAGCGGAAAATGGTTGGGAGATAAGCTAAATGCGGCCCTGCGTCCTGCGTCGACGTTTGAGGTGGAAAGGGAAGAAACAGAAGTGTATACAGATGGATCGTGCCTGCGAGGGGGAGATGAAGATGCGGCGGCAGGGTGTGGTGTGTGGTTCGCGTCCCAAGACCCAAGGAATGTTGGAATGCGAGTCCCAACAGACGTACAGTCAAACCAAACTGCTGAAATGTACGCAGTAACGTTAGCGCACCGGATGGTGCCGCCGTTCGCGCCACTACATATAGTAAGTGACTCGAAATATGTCATCGAAGGACTTACGATACACCTTCCTAAGTGGGAAAGGAGAGGTTGGATCGGAGTCGCGAATGCAGACGTAGTGCAGGAAACGGTTGCGTTGCTAAGAAGTAGGTCTGCGAGGACGACTTTCCGATGGGTTAAAGGGCATGCTGGAATTGAAGGAAATGAGGAGGCGGACAAACTGGCGGGTAAAGCGAGTGCCATGTTACCTGCGGCTCGGCCGCTATTTCCGCTTCACCCTACCAAATATCTCCAGAATGGAGCTGCACTAGCGTACTTAACGCAACGGATGGCATATAAAGGTATCCTGATGGAGAGAAAACGTGAAGAAAGGCGGAGTACGGTCAGAAATCTGGCAAAGGTTAAGGCCGCAATCAAAGAACTTACGGGGCGGGCTATCACAGAAGCGACGATATGGAAATGTCTGAGGAATGAAGCAATTGCAAGGAAAACAAGGGACTTCCTGTGGAAAGCGTTGCATGATGCATATAAAGTTGGAGCTTTCTGGGAAAATATCCCGGGATACGAGACTAGAGCAGTCTGCAAAAGATGCGGAGTATGTGAAACAATGGAGCATATACTTGTGGAATGCAGCGCGCCTGGACAGAAGACGGTGTGGGGTGTCGCAAAGGAACTCCTAGGGCGAAAGGACGTCGAGTTAGGAGAAGTACGGCTGGGACTGGTACTGGGAGGACAAGCCGCAAACGTGCTGGATAGCAACGGCAAAGTTAGGGTAGGAGTAACGAGGCTTCTCAGAATAATTGTGTCGGAAACGGCGAGATGCATATGGGTCTTGAGGTGTGAAAGAGTAATTGCATGGGAGGATACACCTGAGAGATATCACTCAGATGACGAAGTAACCAACAGGGTGATGGCGGCCCTTACGAGCAGACTTACGATGGACTGTTCCCTTGCGAACATGAGAAAACTGGGAAGAAAGACACCAAGTAAAAATGTGGTACTCGCCACATGGTCGGGTGTACTGCAAAACGAGGAAGACTTACCGGAAGATTGGATGCGGACGAAGGGGGTTTTAGTGGGTAAACCAGATAGAATTAGGGAGCCGGACTAGACAAACGGCATTCCTAAGTAGGGAGTCCCACACTGTAAGCCTAGGCTTGCGTGCGTAATGCATTTCCCCCTTAGGTGTAAAAGGGTTCGTCCCTTGCTAACCTTGCAATTATCAGGAAGGATATAGACTTATCCGCGCCTGATAAGCACCTTAAAAAAAAAAGAAAAAGATAACTAATATTGGTGAGTGGTAACGCCGCGCATTCGGTGGACGGACCTCAAGAATTTGATCTATGCATGCCAATATGTCCCCAACGACCTCGAAAGGCGGACTAGTTATATAACGCAAGAAAGGCATCACCATGAACGCCGTATCTGGATTCAAAGGGTCTTGGAGGATGTCCAGGAGAGGTACACAGTGATTCCGGGGGTCAAGACGGAGGAGCTCGGATGACAGATACGACGCTACCTGTAGCTCCGGTGAATCACTTGGGGTGCGCTTCAAATAGACGAGGGTCCCGTCAGACATCCGCGTAGCATCAAGGACGCTAGTTCTGAACTGCTTGATGTCAGCGTTCAAGTTCAGAGCATAGTCAAGCCAATGATACTTACTGGTAAACGGTACTCGTCTTCTACCTTGTACGCTGTTCCCATCGGTTTGCCCCTCCAAGAAGGTACCCAGTCGCGTCTGTAGCGTGGTCGTAACATGTACCCGCGGGATTCAAGAAATTCTTGGCGGTCCCTCTGATAGAGCTCTTCCGTCGACAGTCGACATAACATATCCTCCGGGTCGGTCCTACCCTCAGGGTGTTGGCTGAGGGTCATAACTGGCTTGAATGAGCAGTGTTCTTACGGGAGGTATAGGAAACAGTGGTGTGAGTGAGAGCAGGGGGTGCGCACACCGTGAGTCTTGTTAGGTCTTGAATTAGACGCTCGTTATTGTTTATGTTCTGACCTGGGAACATACAGCGAAGCCCTGACCTTACCATGTTTTTATGGCGCTGTTGGCTGACGAGGATCGTCAAGATCAAGTCAAGTATAACTGCCCAGATGAAGAGGTCGAAAAGGCTGCTTACCAGGGTCGCGTGGACAGCTCAGGGTTAATCGCGAGTCGGAGTGGTAGTAGACGTGTCTCACCGCATTCTGAAGACGGAAGCTACATTTGAGAGAATATTGATACAGATGGTGCCGAGTCTCGATCCAGAAAACCCTATCTCGGGCGGTGAGATGCTATGGCGGAACTGCAAGTGGAGCATTTGTATTGCGCTGCAAAGTTGCGGGAAGCTCGAAAAGAGGGATTTGGCGCAGATTTGCTGGAGCTGGACCGTCGGCGTCGAGTTTCTTTCTAGAGCGATCGGTCTATCGAATCCGGTCAGCAGTTTTCTAAATTGATAGAGGAGAAAGACCTCATACGATCGCAGCATTAGCGAGCCCGCGCTCGAGGCCCTCGAGCAGAGTGCACGCCTTGCAAAGTTCGTTGCTTGACATGTATCCGCAGCGCTTACAAATTTCTACAAGCGAAACCCCGTTAGCAGATGTGCATGTGAGAAGGCGCGGAGATGTACGCTGGATCTTTTGCGTAGCTTTCACATCGTCCTTGACCTCGAAAGCTTCCCCGGAGTGGATGATATCAATGATGGCGCTCGGGCGAGCGGCCTCGAGGTCCTTCAAGAAGACTCGAGCGTGCCCCCGGTAAGCATCGGGCGAGTAGATGCACTCTGTCGAGAAGTAGTCTAGCTTCTTGAAATAGGCATACCTAGGCATACAGTAAGTGATTGGTCCACAGTAGTCATGAGGAATGACGTACATGACGATCTCCTTCTCGTACGCGTACTTGAACGGCTTGGATCTCTTGATGGTATCTTCCCCCTGGGTACAGATAGAAGTACATCGACCCAAACGCGCAATGTCTCCTCTCATGACTGGTCCGCATGTTGAGCGAACCGCGTACTGATTGAGTGGTTGGGTGGACTTACTGTTCATCAGCACCGTCTCCGCGATATCATCCGCGTTGTGACCGGTGACAATGTGGTCGACATTGAGGGTGGCGGCTCCCCGATCGAGTGCCTGCCTTCGGAAAACACCGCAGAATGTGCAGTTATTCTTCTTCCCAACTTGCGAGACGATCGCGTCCATGGTCCATCCATACAGCTCGTCATATGACAGAATCTTGAGCGGCATGTCGTACTGTTGTTGATTCCGTTTCACCGTCTGGTGTAGTACTGTTTAGATGGTATAATGCGGGCTGGGAGTGCACGTACCTCCAGGGAGTCATCTCGATACCCGGTTATGCCTTCGTCTATCGACAAAAGGAAGAGGTCCAAGCCGTAGTCGTACCGCTCGTTCAGAGCCTTCATGACATGCGCCAGCACAGTAGAATCTAGTTCATGCTGAGAAACTGAGAACTTCGTGCGCACACTCCCAGCAAGCGAGCCTACCTTTACCGCCCGAGGCCCCGATCGCTACTCTGTCTCCTCGTTTGAAGAGCTGAGCCTCTTGAATCGTGTTGTGGACCTCCGTCTCAAAGACATAGAAGAAACACTCCTTGCATATTTGTTGCCCAGTCTTTGGTCGCTTGAGTATCGCGCGAGCATCGTCGCAGAGAGCGCAAGTCCGGGGAGGCATGATCGACGTTCGGGTCAAAGTTTCCTGAGCGGCGTCTAGCGAAATTATAGCAGGAAGCGCCCATATTCGCGCTCTGCCACAAGCCTCCATCCTTCTCAGCCGTCCTCTTTACCACCCCCGGGCCTCAGTACTGCCAACATGCCTAGGGAGAACAGGAAGCGAGGCAAGAAACATAAGAAGACGGCAGAGGAAGTCGCTGATGTCGTCCAGGACGCTGCACCGTACATCGAGGAGCAGGAGGCCGGCCCGTCCTGGATTGTCCCTGCGCGCGAGGAGCCTACGATCGACCCGAACGCGCCGTTTGGCTATGTCGATGCAGAAGTGAAGGCATACTTCCGGACAGTGGATGTTCAAATACGCGAATGGCAGGAGACGAAACCTGAGGTGGAAGAGGACGCGGACGTCGACCCCAACGAAGGTACGTTGCTTCTTGCTTGTCATGAGAACTGGTGTTCACGCTTTCTTCGCAGACAGACGGCTGTTCTTCGTAGCCGGTTTGACCGAGATGGCGGAGAAGGAAAAACAGCTTGCCACGGACCCGGATTGCTCAACAATCTTGGAACGAATGATCCACTCCATGGACGACTTCGTCCGGCGCGTTTTCATGGACAAGCTCAGCGGCTCGTCAGTCGCTTTCCCCCAAGCTCTCATCGGGTGTCTCACTGATACTAGGTTGTCAGGTTTGAGCAGCTCAGCAAACATCGCTTTGCGTCACATGTCTGTCAAACCTTGCTCACGGTGGCTGCCGACACCGTCTCTCGGGAGGTCCGTTCCTTGACTCCCCTATGCCGTCAATTCGCTTAACGCGAGACACAGGCCCGTGGTATCTTCCCTCCTCTGCCGGAGTCCGGCGAGGAGGAAGGCGAGTTACACACCATGACCCAGTTGATACTGGATGCGTGCGAGGTATGTTGGATCCATGCGGTGTATCTGTTTGTTGCTCACCTCCGTACAGGAGCTCCTCCCTTCTTTCTCATCTCTCGTTCTGGACCCATTCGCGTCTCATGTTATCCGGGCCCTACTGCTGCTCTTGGCTCCGGACGTGCTCGGTGCTACGGACCACGCTAACGGGTCGAGTCGAGCTGGCTCCGCACTTCGCTCGAAGAAGAGCGCGGCTTATAAAGCGAGACAAGGCTCTATGAAGTCCGTTTTCACGCAGGGGGAGGCCCAGGGGGCTCAGCCGATCAGAAGTACGCCAAAAGAGTTCCGTAAAGCCGCCCTGCGTTTCGTAGCTGCTCTGCGGGAACAGCTGGGCGAGAATGAGGTCCGTGCCTTGGCAGCCAATCAAGTCGCCAGTCCGGTTCTCCAGGTATGTTACCGCATGGATTCATCTCGTCTCATGCTAAATAGTGTGCTGGCAGCTGATACTAGAGCTCGAAGCTGCATATGGGAAGGCAGATGCCCCCGGATCCATAACGGACCATGTCCTGGCTGGGCTCATCACCCTGATTCGTGAGCATTGCACCCGTATCCCTCCCTCCGGATTGTATATTGAGACTTGTATTGCAGACACAAATCCTGAAGAGACAGCTCCAGAATCAGAGTATCTCATGACACTCCTTCGTGACCCCACATCATCCCATCTCCTGGAGACACTCGTTCGCCGCTCCCCAGAACGCGTTTTTGACTCCTTGTGGCGGACATACTTTGTGGGGAAGCTGGCCCGCCTCGCTGTCCATCCCGTAGCGAATTTCGTGGTTGCGAAGGCCTTCGAGCGTGTCAACGCTGAGCAATTGGACGCCGCAGTACAGGAGCTTCAGGGAGTATCCGGGAAGATCGTTAGTGAGTGTTCTGTCTACGAGAAACCGCTAAGGCTCTTACGAGCACGTCCGTTTCCCAGAGAATGCACGAACAGGTGTTCTACGGGCATTGGTCTACCGCTCGGCTACCTTGCACGACAGCGCAGAGGGTGTTATGCAGGTAAGGGTTCTATCACGCTTTATGCCGCACTGTCTGACATCGGCTCGCAGCTTATCACAGCCGCGTTCGACCTCGACTCGGAAGAAAACAAGAAAATGCTCGTCCCTTGCATACTCAGGCTCAAGTCGCTAGCTGTAAGTGTAGTGATTCTGGCTCTAGTCGGCTAGAGTCGCTGCTAACGAGTGCGTAGGAGTATCGGCGTGCAGTCGAATCAGCTAGCAAAGCTGCCGATAATCAGCCAGAGGACGAACCTCGATTCAAGCGAAAGAAGGCGGACGACCCCTTGGAGCCTTCGACACAAGGGGCCGTCCTACTCCAATCCATTCTCCGGTTGCCCCCTCCACACGTCAACGTCGTACTGGATAGGTAATGCCTCTCTGGCTCGTCCGTGTTCTCAATTGTGCTAAACTACTACCTGGAAAGCCTGCAGGCCATAGGTGTAGACGAGCTCGTACAGATGGCGTACCACGTTACCAGCTCTCGCGTGCTCGATGCCGTACTCGAATCGCCAACCGTGCTACACAAAGACAAGCGGAAGTTTGTGATGACGTTCATCGGCCACTACCACCTTCTCGTCGACGATCGCATTGGCAGCCGCGTCGGTGAGCGGTGCTGGGCGTTTGCTGATCCCTACCTGAAGGTACGCATCTTCTGTGCGCGCTCGCTTTCGTAAACATTTTCCGGTCTAAACGTACACTTAACGCAGGAAAAGATCGCGCGATCGGTCATCCCCTACGAACACGCCCTTGCGGGGTCGGCATTCGGGAAGTTCTTCATGCGTCCCTTAGCACTACACGTCCTGCAGCGCGACCCCGAGCGCTGGAAGAGCATGCAATCTACCCCCAAACCTCCCCCGCCCGCCCCCGCGCGAACGCAGGCACCGTCTGTAGACGCCGTTGCCGCTGTCGTGGATATGTCAGAACACTCGCCGAGCAAGTCTCACAAAGGCAAAGGCAAAGGCAATGGGCAGGATGAGATTGACGCGCTTTTCGACGCGACGCTCGGCAAGAAGATCAAGAAGGCGGGGCTCGCTAGCACCGCACCCGCTCAGGAGGACGGTGCAACAGAGGCCGCAGCGGGCAAGGCCAAGAAGCATCGCGAAGGGGATCACAAGGAAAAAGAGGCGAAAGGGAAAGGTAAGAGCAAGAAACGGAAGGAGAGAGACGAGGGCGACGATGCAGAGGACAAGGATCTCAAGGATGTCCTGGGAGCCATCCGCGCCGCGCCTAAGGAGGATAAGGGGCCCAAGAGGAAACGGGGACACTAGTCCTAGTGACCGCCTCCCATCTTTCAAAAGTACGCTATGTTCACATCGTCTAGCTATTCGTTATCAAAGGAGTATTATCGCCGCTTTAGATAACAGCATCCGCTTGCGCCGCCTTTCGGCATGTTCTCCACCTCTTCCTGCCCTTCTCGGAACGGTCCTGACTGGTACTGTCTGCGCGGAGGAGCTACCGTATGCCACTTTCTATGCGGCAAGCTTGCATGTGCCACCGGGCGCCACGAAGCGCCTGCGACATTACGACTCGCAAGAGCGGTTGCCGGTCAGGCCTCAGGACTCAGAGGTAAAAGAAGAATTCTCTTGCGTCTACGGTCTGATAACCTGACTCCGACAAGCTTGGCGACCCCTCCTGCTGAACTGTTTTGAAGTTAACATATCACAATGCAGGAGAACAAGAGTTCAGGATCCGGAGTGATCAATTTCCAAATGAAGTAGCCTCCGTGTGAGTACCACTTCACGGTCTTGTCTCTCTTTCGATGGCTTTTGTCTTTCTATCTTCGGCACAGGACCCACAACATCGGCCGTTGCTGGGAAGTGGTATATAACGCCAGTTGCGGAACTCCCTGGTGCTAGCCCTCGTTCTCATCTCTGACACCTCTGTCTACACCTACTACTAACCAGGATGTCCTCTGAAGATGGAGACGACTCTGTATTTGAAGAGTTGAGGGACGTGGAAATATACTGGGCGGAGAAATATGAGCTCTTCGAGGCCCACGGGTACGCACTGCGTCCTCGATACCGGCCGGGCTGGAAACCATCTTGGATTGGCAAACCGCCCATTGCAATCATGTATGCGGAGGACGCGCTCTCATTACATGTGAGATCTTACCAGACGCGTTCAAGTGTGAAGGCTAACACATCCTAGGCAAGAATCAACGTCATAGATGCGACACGCATATCCGATGGCAGACTCGTCTATCTCAAGAAGATCGACTCCGACTCCGAAGAGCTCAAACTGTTGCAGTACCTCACATCTCCAGAGTTGCTTGAAGATCCATATAATCACTGCGTGCCCCTACTGGACGTTATCTACGACCCGTCTGATCCTCAGACTTGTTTCGTTGTCATGCCGTTTTTGCGGTACATTGACCATCCTCCGTTTGAACTTGTCGAAGACATGCTCGAGTGCGGCGAGCGTATCCTCGAGGTGCGCGCCACATCGTCTGCTCGTCGAATACCGTTACTCACATCAAACGGCAGGGGCTCGTCTTTCTACACGATTGTGGCGTAGCCCACCGGTGCGTCTATCACTCCTGCTTAACGCGGAGCTACTGACAAGTTGCTACTGTCCAGTGACTGCGCTTATAAGAATATAATGATGGACGCCACGGCTGTCTTTCCCAAAGGCTTCCACCCCATGGCGGAAACGACACTCCCAGACCTTTCGGGGCTCGCCCCTTTCGTGCGCCGCATAGACGTACCCGTCAAGTACTACTTCATCGACTTCGGCATATCCACACAGTTTGCCCCGGACCAGCACCCTCGGCTTGTTCTCGGAACGGATGGCCTGGACGACGAGGTCCCCGAGCTGTCTAACACAGTACCGTATGACCCCTTCAAGACCGATATCTTCATCATCGGGAACCTTCTACGCCAGCAGTTTCTGCAAGTACGTGCTCCACCTCTAGTCCCACCTTGTTCATAGACTTACACCTTGCGCTGTCACCAGAGATACTCGAACACAGAAGAGCTCAACCCTCTCGTCAAGCGCATGCGCAGCAAAGAGCCGAGCCAGCGTCCGAGCGCACGCGAAGCTCTCCGCGACTGGAAAGCCATCCGAAGGCAAATCCACGGCATCCGGCGGTACTGGCGGCTGCGCCCTCCGAGCCACGAAGAGCCGTGGCCTCTGACGCTCTGGTTCGAATTTAAGGCCTGCGTGAGCTTTAGTCCTCTGGTCCTCTCCCCTAACCGTGTTCATTAACGCCGTTGCTGGCAGATTCTCGCCGTCCTCAGGTACTGGGGGTCTCCGAATTGACTGGCTCGAGGCGCACCCTACGGATTGATTATGGCCCCGATACCCTCCTTCTACCCACTGTTCATGTATGCTTTCTACCATTTACTTTGTTGCTGGATGTACAGTACACTCAAACTCTATGACATTGTTCCGCATACATCAGATGTAGCATTTCCCCCGGGCCCCCTGTCGTCCAATACTTGACCACCGCAGTTGAGCTAACTCACTATGAACATCATTGAGCGTTACGGGAAGTCTAACCGGAAATTATAAATCATCGCCAGCGGACACCACTAAGCTCTGAACATCAGCCACGCGAACGAGCGAATCGGAGCGTGCTTTCGATTTCGACTGGGCGCGAGGGTGTTGCTCGGCCGCCATGACCGTGCGCAAGTCGGATTCGTCGCTGAGGGTCACCCTCGCGCGTACGCAAATAGATCAGAGGCTGCAGCGGATGTCAGCCTCCTGCTAGCCTCTGCCCGCCTCGAAGGGAATAAAAATCGCGCTAGAACGCCTTCACTCCTCATTCGCGCTCTGTTCCCCCCTCCCTCCCCCCTCCCTCCCCCAGCACCCGCTATGAGTCACCACGCCGACAGGCAGGGGCCTTCAAGATACGGGCTCTATCCTGGCGTCAGCGATGTTCCCGATTGCCGATGGGCAGGGCCGCTCCAAGCGTCGTCAGAGTACTGCAAGCAAGCGGTCAGAAGCTCCTTAAGAATGAAAGCATATCGAGTCGAAGGTGGGAAGGTGAGTGTTTCCTGTTCCCGAGGGAGGGACTTCTGTCCTGGCGCATACCTTTTCGTGGTCCTCGGGATAAGTACCTGCTCGTGTGCGGCCTCTCGGGGCGGCGCATGGGTGGGGAAACCAAAATGCGTTTTCTGTTTTCTCCGTTCCGGGGAGGGGCTGTTCGTCTGGGGTTTCGTAGACGCGCTTACTCGGTAGGCTAGACGTCGTTTCTTGATAGCAAAGAGACAGCTTTGCCTCATGTACTCCGGATGCTTTAGGACAGCATAGGTTGATGTCCATCTAGGGTGGAGTTTCCTGGGCGTGTGGGGGCGGAGTGGTATACGATTACGCAGTGATCTAATACACGCGAGTCGTTCCAAACAGTAGAGTGTATAGAAATCTGCATACCTTTCAACCAGCCCTCCCCGCCGCTTTCACATATAAACATTGAACGTTGAACGCTCGGCACTCCTCCCTCCTATTCCTCTTCGGCCTGCTGTGAGCATAAGATCATATAACCTCGTGAACCCAGGCTCGCGAGACATGCACGCGCTTCTTCAAGCGTTGTCGGTCTGCACAGATATCTTGTTCAGCGACTTGCCGAGCGAGAGTCAAACATCGCGGTGGTGGCGGTCAGAGGCCCTTTGGGCGCCTGGGTTATAGGTCCCATAGTCACGGAGTTTGAATACGCATTTGCGCGTCTATCTGCTGTGGCGACGCCTCGAACGGAGTCACGGTCTAGGACGCCCGGCGACCACCTTGCTCCTCAAACTTCGCGATCCCCCCAACCTCTGAGACCTGCTAGACGCGGCCTTAGCAGGCTCAGTTCTGCTGGGTATATTATACAGCTTCTTGAACAACGCTAGGCCGAACCCAAAGGCACACGCACTTACGATCCACTTCACTGACGACCTGCTACATTCGCCTCATCCCTGCTCAAGCAATGGATACATATTTTGGTTGCACCATAGAAAACCTCCGTTTAGGCGGCCATGAGACCTATTGGAGAGACCTGTTCTCATTTCTGGAGTCACACGGATACACGCTACGCCCCCGCTATCGTCCAGGATGGGAACCGCCGTGGCCGCCTACTCCCGAAATACCCTTTGCTTCGACCGAGGATTGCATAGGTCTTCCGGTGTGTAATTTCCGCCATATTTTTTACTTATGTCGGGCTGAACACGGAGATCGAGCTTTATCGCAGTCGCATGATAGATGCAACACGCGTCTCAGACGGCAAGCTGGTAATGTTGAAGGCGATTCCGTCCACATCTACAGAGGTGGACATATGCCGCTACTTTTCGTCCGAACCTCTTTGCAATGACCCTCGCAACCGGTGCATCCCGTTACTGGATGTACTATCGCATCCGGACGACCCTGACGTCTGCATTATGGTCATGCCATACCTTCGGAATATCGACCAGCCACTGTTCGACACGGTTGAGGATATCCTCGAGTGTGGCGCGCAGATACTTGATGTATGTTATTCCTCCCTCTGGACCATCACTCACTCATATTGTCCTCCAGGGACTATTGTTCATGCATGAACACAATGTAGCTCATCGGTATGTTGTCTAGTTACTTTTTCTCTTGCAGCTTCGTTCTAACTCCGAGCCTGTAGTGACTGCGCATACCGCAACGTTATGATGGATGCCACTGCCATGAACCCGAGCGGGTACCACCCTCTTCATTGGAGGATGCTGCCCGATACAGTAACCCCTGCGCCCACGCTTCCTCGCTCGAGCGTCCCGGTCACTTACTACCTCATCGACTTCGGTATCTCCACGCGTTTCTCCCCCGACGACCCTTCAAAGTTGGTGGTCGGGACCAAAGGTTTAGAAACGACTGTTCCTGAACTGTCGGCGACGGTCCCATACGATCCATTCAAGACGGATATTTACATCCTCGGCGCCCTATTCCGTCAGGAGTTCCTTGATGTGCGCCCTCTCTCACTCTGACTTCGCTCATCATACTAAATGCGATGACTAGAAATACTCGAACGTGGGGATGCTGGCTCCCCTCATTGCCTCGATGACGGTGAAGGATCCGGCCGCGCGTCCTGATGCTGCTGCGGCACTCGAGGCGTGGCGACTCATGCGCAAACAAACCGCCGCGGGTCACAGACAATGGAGGGCCAAAGGGCGCGACGAGTCTCTGCTAGGTAGCGTCCTCCGCGACGCGCTGCTGCTAGTGAGTATGGCGACTCAACCTGACCTTCGATTGTCCTGACGGCGTGTGGACAGCTGGGCGCACCTGCCATGCCGCCGCCACTTCCTCAGATCCGAGAGTCACTATGAGTCTGAAGGACATCACCGCCGCCTCTCAGATCGCGTAGCCCAGGATGCGCACACAGACGTCATTAGCTCACTCTGTTCCGTGCGCGCGAGCGTCCTTATTTGCGGATCACATAGTAACGTGTCACCCGTACGCAAGGCCTCGTTTACGATCGCGTATACCCGCATGACTTGTACTATTATGTTTCCATGTCCTCATGCTGTGCCCGGTTATGCTGTGGATGTCTTCTATTGTCTCCTTGATTTTCCAAGTTATTGAATGCACCCACTTGTTCAAGTCTGTAGACGTCCACCACGCTCCAGTCTTCTAGGCCAGCTTCCAGTCTCTCCAGAAGATCTCCGCTCAGCTCAACCGGTCCCACTGGCATCATGACGCGCTCTATCCTCAAGCGTTTGCGGGACGGTATCACCGGTGGGGGGGGGG